CTCATGATATAATCACTGTAATGTCACTTTGATTGATGATATGTGCTGCTGATTATCCATGCTGCTGATCACATGCTGCTGATTATTTCATGCTGTTGTGTTCATTCGTACTCATCTACTCACACAGACTCATGCTCGTGCTGCTGTTTGGAGTATTTTTTTTTTTTTTGCACTATTAGTGTTTAGCATAGTTCTTAGATCTTTATTTACAATTTCTTTTTACAATTTATAGTTTTGCTATTGTTGGTTGTAACTGGGACCCTGTGTACACAATGTTGTTCCACCTCATGTACCACATGTGATGCAAATTATAATAAAACCTACTTGAACTTGAACTTAAAGTTTGCCTTCCCTTATTGTGAAGTGTTACTACTTTAGCATTTTTTGTTCAATCATTTTACTGTGCTGATGTGGTATTTCTGAAAATAAACATTTTCTTTAAGGACAATAATTGAGCTTTCTCAAAGTTTAGTCTCAGCGGTGTTCAAAAAGCAAACTTTTAATTCTTATCAGCTGAGTTAACATCTTAACATGACTTATGGACTTCTTTTCTGTAACGCATTAAATCAGCTCCAGCAACAGCAAAATATAATGAAATTGAAAAAAAAACCAGTACAAGCAGCATTTGCTTGTAAAGGCAGAAAATGTTACCTTGTGATTGCGAAGGTATGCAAGAGATGGACTGACCTTTCTGCTTGAGAAATTATGTTAGAGTTGAGACGGGGCTGTGAACAGCACAGCGGGCCAAAGAAAACTGGAAGGCAATAAAAAAATCTTCTCCACTGCCTTTCATTCTGTACATGACCAGCAACATAAGAGACAAAACAACTTCATTCTTCTTTTAGATTGATGCACCTTTTATCTGCACTTTTTAACGGAGTTCAAATCACGGTCCATCTGTGAGCTTTTAATGGGGGGGAAGTCCCACTGTTGGCAGTATTTACAATATGTTGCCATATGTTGCACATGAAAACTTTGTAGTGTATAATGTGTTCATGTCAGGTCTTTTACTTATTTCTGGTAATCTTTTATGTTTATTGTTAGGCGTATTGGTTATTTTCTTTAATTAGTTCAGTTCCTTTGTGTCTTTTTCCTCTGTCTGTTTTTTTTTTTTTCAGTAAGTTTCTGTTTTCTGTCCACTCTTCACCTGTTCCCTGTTACCATTAAGCCACTTGTCTCCAATCTCCTCATCTCCAGTTCTTTGAGTCTCCTGGTCGTCACACAGCCTGGCATTGTGCTTTATGCCCCATCCTGTTCACCTCTGTGTTGCTTTGAGTTTTGTTATTTTGTATCATTTTCTGCCACATTAGACTTTTTTTTTATTTGTAGTACAGTGTTTCAATGTTTTAGTTTTTATTTGAGCTCCTTGTGTTGGTCAGCTCTCTCCATCTTTCCTTCAAACCATGACAGGTAAAGTTATTCTGGTGCAGAATCCACAAGTTAACGAAAGCCAGTTCCAGTTTTTAATATAGATATCCCATTCTGTATATCACCCTATAAGTTCACTCTGTTGTGAGGTAAACCATGTCATTAATTACATTAATAATGAAAGTAAAAATGCATCACTACAAGTCCACCTGGCATCATTATGGTTAGAATAAAGCTAATTCAAACAAAAGTAGATGATTAATAACCTAATAAAGAAGAAAATCTAGTTGTTTCATGTCAGGAATCTGATTTTTACGTTTATCCGCCAAGACAAACTTGAACTGGATGGAGCAGCGATCTGAAGTGAGCAGAAACACGATCCACCACTTCTAGTCCAAATGTTCAAAATAAAAATCAGTTCAAACGCAAGATGTAAAGATTTGTGACTCGAGCTCATTTGCTTTAGGTCAAAGTCACAGGCTTTGTTTCCAGGCAGCCCAAGTCAAAACGACTCATGCGATCCCCGAGCTAAATTTGTGGGTAGAAGTGGGATTCAGAACATGGGGATACTGTAATTTGATCATTTGGCCAGATCACCCACAGCTAATGCTGCTCTGACTGAAACCCCTATTTAAAAGTTCAAAGAAGGAATTTGTTATAGGCAGATACAAATGAGAAAAGATACAATTTAAATCTCTTTTGGGGTTGCAAAGGATTTAAAACTCCCTAACTAGTGTTTTCCTCTGCAAGAATGTTGTAAAGCAGAACCTCAAAACAGCAATCAACACGCAGGTACAATACAGTCCATATAATTAAAGGTTACGGTATTTACCATCAAACTCCCACTCTAATTCCATAAATGAGTAAGAAATTATTTTGGAAACAGTCAATTCCAATACTTTCTGTCCAATGAAACTAAATTTAATGGTCCTAAACCAACATTGACAATTACTGTTTAGGCACGGGTGTATTTCTTGTCTGAACCGAGAGTTACAGCCACTGGCAAATACGTGTTTAAACTGACAGAGACAATTAGAAACTTTTGTTGCCAAGTGTTTCTTCAAAATGAGGTTTTCAGTGTGCGATATGCAATTTTACATGAAGCCGTGCGCACAGAAGTGTATTTTTTATGAACATATAAAAGCACGTAGGCCCTGAATGGAAAAAAAGCGCTCCAGTTCCTGTCATGTGTTTGCTCTGAGCTAAACTCGGTTGCATAAGGAGGTATTGTTAGCATTCTAGAAACCAAATCCAAGACTACAGCTGAAGCTTTGGATTTTAGACATTACATCAACCCCGTTCGGCAGGAAGCTCCTAAAACAGCACAGCTATGTTTTCACTTGCGCTCACAGGCGACAGGTTTGTTTCTTTTCTTTGCCCCCTCTCTGAACGTGTTTTCTCAAACTGCCGAAAATATCCTAAAGAAGCGGTCTGGGACTGAGGCGTGGACGGACTAAAGATGGCCTGAACTGGTTTTCCACTACTAAAGTCTTCAACATGGGGTCTTTCTGTCCCTAATCCAGTCTGAAGCCTTTGGGTTGGCACCTTGCCGGCCGTGGAGCTTTTTTCAGCTGACGATAACACGGCTTCCAGTCAAACCTTGGTGAGGGCCAAGCTGTAAGGGGCTCCAGATGGTTAAACAGACCCCTGGCCTGCTCAAATACAATGCCTTGTTTAACATGAACACGTTAATCTGAACCTGCTCCTTTATGGTGGATTAAATTAACTCTTTTTTTTTACTTTAGGTAAAAGTGCCTCTTCAGTAGCTGTAATTTACACCTTTCTAAGTGCAATGGAGTGAGTGGAAAAAAAAGAAAGTCGGGGGCAGATCTAATAAGAAGACGGTTAGCTCGATGTGTAATAGGCCGGCAAAAATGTGTGTAAAGTGTTTGCATGTGTGAAGGAGGGAAATAATTATCAGAGGGAACAGAGAAAACAGTAAACAAGTTTTTTTTGTTGTTTTTTTAAAGGACATCTTTTCTGCTGCTTGATCAGTGTGTAGGTTTTATTAAAGATAACAACAAAATCCAACTATAGCGTTCATAACACTAAGTAAGCTCTACTGTATGTTAAAACAGAATTAATATATTTGGCTGTATCCACGGTTTATCTCCTTTATTCAGTCATTATTTTGGCAGTTAGTAAAACCAGCGCTGCTGTGGTCATATAAAAATAAGCGGTTACACTTATAATTATAGGCTGGTGTCAAAATAAACAGAGCCAGTTTCCTGTCTGTTGGTAATTTCCAAGCAAAAAAAATAAATAAAAAAATCCTACATGAAAAGAAAAGGAAAACAAAGGCTGATGAATGGGACCAGAGGGGAAATAACGCTGTAGAAAAACGTGCATAGGGCAATTCCTTTTGACAGGACAGTATCAGGACCTGTGTGTTTTTAGTCTGTGTGCACAAGAATCTCAGCTGTCAAAGTTTAGTAGTGAAATTAAACTTATATGCATGTCTGATGTGATGTAGGACTTCACAAATACATGGCTGTGCTTACAAAAAAAAGGAAGTTTGGCTAAATTTTTATACTAAGATTTTGTGCAAGGATGTCAAGTAGTTGTGCTCAACTCTCAGGTACAACCATGCCAAATTTTAGTGCAACATCTGTAAAAGTTGACTGAATTATAGCCATTTTGTTTATTCTAAAATCAGTTGGCTGTGGTGGCCATCTTGAATTGGATTGCCTTCAAATGGTAATCATTTGTAGAAGCATATCCAATAAATATTTCCTTCAAGATGCATTACATTCCATCCACTAGTTTGTGAGATATTTTGCTAACAGACAGACAAAGTTGACTCCAAGTAGTTAATAATCTTAACAGATAACAAAGATCTTGCACAATTTTTCAGCACTTTAAATGTGTGTTGTGGGTCAGTTTAGTCTCCTACCACATCAAATTTGAGGTAAATATCTGTAAAATTCACAGCTTTAGTCATTTGTGTTGTTTTTATAAGCTGGCTGTGAAGTCAGCATTAGACATGCATTCAATACTTACTTTCTGCAAGTTTCATTAAAATCTATTCAGTGGTTCATGAAATAGTCTGTTAACAGACACACACAAACACACAGAGACACAGACACAAACCAAATCATCTGCTTTGCCTTTCGGCGGCAGACAATAAGAACAACTTTCTTTTTTTCCAGGCTGTATTATTGCCCGCTCTGCTGATGACAAGATCTCGTACATTTCCATGTGCCCAGAAACTTGAGACACCAAATAATCAACGTTTTAAAAATATAGGAAAAAATGATGATGTGTATGACTGAGTCAGCGTTAATGTGCAGGGGAGAGCAGGAAAAAAAGGTTTGTTTAGTTTGATTGGAGACGTGGAAGCAGATTTTTACTAAGTTTTGAGAAAAACAATATTTTACATCATTTACATGTCTTTACTAAAGCACATAAAGCGTGCATTGAAACTGGACTTAGAAATGGTTATTGTAAAAGCAAACATTATTGCAGAGGTTCATTATCCAAGATGATAAAACAGTCAAAACGAGACCTATTAGGAATCAATCTAAGCATTGATTGCAAGAAAGTTGTACATTTACGTCGTGATGACGAGAAAAAGCAAATATTATTATCTGCTGTCATGTTAAAGTGCACATGCAGTATGAAATCTTACTTACGTTTTATGCAGCGATTGGTTCCTGGTGCCAACGCCCAACCAGAGCAGCACTGGTGACCTCCACAGACGTTAGGCCTGAGTGAGGAACCAAATGCACAATCATTTATTAGACACAAACCAACTTCAACCACCTCGTTGTGGTGCATTTTAAAACTGTTGCATAACAACAAAGTTCTCTTTCAAAAGTCTAATCTTTCTGATGTGGCTTTTCTGTGAAGATGAACACCTTTGAGATTATCTCTAATAGCATGTTATTTGATAAACGCTTCAGGGCGGGTCGCAAATCTCTGTCTTAACGTGGACCAACAAACTTCTCATTCCATTTTGCAAGAATCCAGAGCGAATACAAATGCAAAGTAATTTAAGCCTTAATGGGATTAGGTGAGACACAAGAGACATAAAAAAACACATCTTGCATCTTCTATAAACCATGCAGCAAATGAGAGATAAGTTAAAAACATCTAAAACAGGATTATTTGCCCTCTTTATTCTGCACTTGATGTCCGGGCATTTTTATTTTATTTTATTTTTTGCCATGAGACAGATTAAAAAAGGCACCAGACCACAAACGAATCCAGATCCATGGCCAGTCTTTTCATGAGATATTACAGTAAGTGGATCTCTGACTCATGGTGATTTGAGAAGATAACAGGGATTGACTCATTGACCTCAGACGGATTGCAATTATGCTGCGAGTGTTACTGAGGCGTCACGCGGATAGCCTCCAGTCGTTTAGACCTTTTGGCAGGCTTCATGTTGTCATAAATCAAGCGCATCAGGCCAGGCTCGTGCCAAAGACGTCAGTCATCGCGTTACAAATTCATCAGGGGATTTGTGTCTGTAATGGAGATGTTAATACAACAAGACCTTGCTCCAGGTAAACATGTTTTTCTTGAACATTTTGAAGTGGAAGCAACCTTTTTTTTTTTTTTCCACAGAAAGCAGAAGTCATACTGAGTCATATCAAGATGTAAAGAAGCGTTAAGTACACCCGGCTCTGCCAGGGGCTGGAGATACTGTAAGTATGAGTGCTGAGAGGGAATTCCAAGAGGAAATGTGTCAAACGTTCACTAACAAGTAGCAGATGATTCATTTGAAAGAGAAAAAAAAAGTTAAAATCACCAGGCAGGCTGCTAATGCGCCGTTAGATTTATGCAACACTTCTTTTACGGCTCTTTAGAACTAAAAGACGTCTATTCATTCAATACTGAGCCATGTTTTTCAGCAAGGCTTTCACTGCAAGCTGCAATAAAGCATGGTGAATCTAATGAAGGCACCTATTTACTGCATGGTGCTTTAAATAGCAGCATGTTGTGGTAAATTGAATCTGAGGAGGTTTAGATGTGTTGTTTTTAATGTTGGGTGGATTGTGAGTGGCTGCACAAAATAGATTTAGTGTTGGATATATATTTTGTGATTTATATGAGATTTTAGATGGTTTTTTTTTTTTATTTTTTTTTTTTAGAAAATGTTACCACTTGTGGCACAGTGGTGAAGTTGTTAGAGCTGCTGCCTCTCAACAAGAAGGTGGTCCCGGTCCAAATCCCAGCCAGGGGCCTTTCTGGGTGGAGTTTGCATGTTCTCTCCGTGCATGCGTGGGTTTTCTCCGGGTACTCCGGTTTCCTCCCACGGAGCAAAAACATGCATGTTAGGCTGATTGGTAACTCTAAATTGTCTCTAGGTGTGTGAGAGAGAGTCAATGGTGTTTGTCTCTGTGGTTCTGTGATGGACTGGAGACCAGTCCAGGGTGTCCCTCACCTCTTGCACAGTGATAGCTGGATATGACACCAGTGACCCCCGTGACCCGAAAAGGAAGAAGTGGGTAAGGATGGATGGATGGATGGATGGATAGATGGATGGATAGATGGATGGATGGATGGATGGATGGATGGATGGATGGATGGATGGATGGAAATGTTTCCTGAAAAGCATTACGACTAAGGCAAACCGTTGATCATTTTGGAGAGTTCAAGCCACAAATTGGAGTTTATTTACCATTAGTGCTGTTGTTTTTGGTGTTTGTTAGGGTTTACAACAAGAAATCATGCATGGTGTGCATGTCTGTGCAACCTAATCAGCCGCTTCCCTCTGTTTATTGTGGAACAAAATCATAAATTGTCCAGATAATCAATTTATTCGCAGTAAAAATCTCAGTTTGACCCACATATTTATACAGACGATGAGCCTTAAAAATCCCTCTGATTGTTCTGTAAATATTCACCCTCTCCTGCCGATGAATCCTTGTCCCTTCGAAACAAACAGAAGTGGATACAGAAGGCTTCATTTAACAAGAAGAGCTTTTTTTTATGGAAACAACCCATCATCATTTTTTTAAATAGAGGAAAAAACAGACACAGGTGTTTCTGATTACCCATGTCCACAAATCAAAGCCATTTATTGCCACGATCTTAAAAGGGTCACAGAAGATGCAGCAGTCTTAAACAAACGATCTCATACAATTTAAATTATTATACTGTGATGTGATCATTTCATGTCCTGCCATGACCCTCGCAGCAAAACTCCCAGCATGCATTATTAGAGGTCACATTCAGCTGAAAGATGCATCTATCTGGATGACAATTTAATAGTATTTACAGAGTACTTTGTGGCTCTTGTTACATCATCCATTGGTTTTCCTTACAGGAAGAGAGATTCTGCTGAAGTGGGCGACCCGCCACATTACAGTAAACCACATGGGCTCGTGTTGGCTGAAGGAAAATGGGTCACACAAATTCCTCTGAAACTGCTGCTGGAGTGGAGGTACACGGAAAAGTTTGATTTACAAATTAAGAGGTGAAACGTATAGAGTTGTTGCTTACCCTGCAAGTCGCCTTGTTCCTGCAGCGCTGGCTCTGCCGCTCTGCCTGCGGCTCGCTGCGCTCCTCTGCGGCGCGGCGGCGCGCTCCGTGCGGGAGGCGCCCGCAGCCTGAGCCGATGCTCTGGATGATGCGTGCCTGCCTCGGTCCGCTTGAGCTGCTGCTCCCCTGGGCGCGCGGACCAGAGCTCCAGGAGGAGAAGCCTCTCCGGATGGTTCCGAGGGCGCATCGCTCCGTGATCCTCCTGACGACGCAGTGATCTCCCGGTGCACCTGGCCCGCACCCTCCTTCTTCCCACCTGTTGCCTCTCCGACCCACACGAGCGCCACAGTCAATAAAACAGCAAACCCCGCGCGTCTCATTTTGGTTCAAGTTTACAAAGGTACAGAAGAAGGCACTAAATTATGATAAAATGTTACAAAAATAAAATACAAGCGAGAATCAGAGCAGCAGCATCCTCTTCCAGCTGACTGGACAGCTTTTCATTATGTCCAGGTAAGACTTGGGCAGCTGTCTTCAGGTTGTCAAATCAGCACCTAACTATCCAACATGAAGAGAAATAAAAAGATTTTCTCCTTCCGGCGCAGAAATAAAAAATAAAAAATAAAAACATATATGTTTAAGCAAACATCATTCCATCTGTTTAAGTGTTTGACAGAAGTGGCGCAAAAAGAGCGGCTGCTGAAGCTGCGCACTGTGAGAGTTTAAACCGTGCTCCCATGAATATCACCTCCTCCTTGGATCTGAAGTCACTGGGAAATTTTGGAGGGATTGCATGCGCTTTGCAAGAAGTAACACCCCCTTGTGTTGCTTCCACACACAGGTCCATGTGGCCACACTCTGCCAAGTTACATGCTCATTTTTCTGCTTTTTTTTAACAGAACTTCTTTATGGGTTTTTTTTTTTTTTGGGGGGGGGGGGGGGCTGATTATGGATGCAGCTGCGTTGATCATTTTATATTTGGGCTGACAAACTATTACACTGTCATAAAATTTAAGACTGCCACAACTTCCAGATGTTTTCCTGGGAGAGTTTACATTTCTGATTGATGCAATAATCTACAAACATGCAGCACCACTTTTAGAGAGCTCATAAAAAAAAAAAAAAAAGCTTTGTTTTTTAAAGCCCTGCACATAAAGTCTACTGTATTCTGGAAGCTCACAAACTCACAAACCCTAACTGAAACCTTGGAAAACTAACCACGTTATGTAACAGAGCCCTTTCCCATCCCCTCGCATGCATGCTGCATCATCAGTTTCCCTCTGACTGTCTGGAATCAACACATTTCTCTTCTCCCATAAGATCTTTACAGAACCCAAAGACAGTTGGCACACGCCGTTCATTTAGCCCACAGAATGCATGACTTTCTCTCTCATGAGTGCTCCCTAAGCACCATTACCTACCACTCACAGAACTCCCGTCCAAAATATAATGAGTACCGTATCCCGGCCATTTATGCTCTTCCACGTAATAACTCCCAGAGCAAAAAAGGCTACAGCCTCTGAAAATTGCTTTTCAACAGAGAAACCTTACATTTTAAAACATATTTTTCTCAGCTTTGTTGTTGAGGTTTGAGCTGATAATATATCTTCTCTAATGAGAGGAAGTAGTTTGAGTTTATCTCGTGATCAGTAGCTTTGTATCATCCCTCAGCCCATGCCTGGTGCTGATGATGGTCAGCATCCTTCAGGGGGATGAGGACATGTGCAGATTTCTTCAATGATGTAGCCACAGCTCAAGTGAAAAGTTTCTTGTTTAATTTTGTGCTTTTATCTTGAACAACTGCTCATACAATACAACATCTTCAAGGTCATTAAGGTAAATGGTAAATGGACTGCACTTACATAGCACCTTTCTATCTTATGAAGATACTCAAAGTGCTGTTTACCCATTCATACAGCACTCTACTACATCTGTACAAAGAATAATCAGCGCTTTATCACATCCATACACCGATGGGACACACATCGGAGACAATGAGGGATTCAGTGTCTTGCCCAGGGACACTTCGGCATGTGACTGCTGGTGGAATCGAACCCCCAACTCTTGCATTGGAGGATGACTGCTCTAACCTCTCAGCCACAGCT